GGTGAGGGCTGGTGGGGTGTCCAATCAGAGCGTGGTACCCAGGGTGAGAGCTGGTTGGGTGCAGCATTGACTACCCAGTTCCTGAGCTGGCCTGAGCTCAAGTGCAACCCTGGTGAAGGCCAGGTCGATTGCCCCAGACAGCCTTAGAGAGAAGATAGTCCCTTTATGAGCTGTGAAGGGGCTGAACCAGAGGAGGTGGGAAGCTGGTCCCGATTGCTTTTGTGGGTGTGGATGGGCTCAGGCCCTCACACCTCACAGTGTGGAGGAGGTGGGGCACGTGGGAGGGAAAACTAACACTCTTGGGAAAAGAAAAAGGCAGAGGAGGTGTGTGACTCTGTCCCAGTCAGGTGGGGGAGCCTCCATCCTACCTAGCCCAGGACTCTGGAGCCTGGAGGAAACTGACCTGGCAAGGAAGCTGGCAAATTGCCACTGACTTGGTGTCCCAGTTCCTGAAATCTGACCAGGGATAATACCACCCTTCAGTGGGTCACTCTCCGTGCTCCGGGCTGTGAAGACACCACCCCAGCTGCTGGAGGGGGTGGGGGGTGATGCCATCTCTTTATTTTCTGCCTGAGGAGGAAGTCACACACAGTTCCTGCACGAGGGTGGCCCCTCTGCCTCAGCAGGGTGAGGGCGAGTGGCAGCCCCTTCCCCCACTCTCACGCACCCCCAAGGCTAGCATCCTTTGTTCTCCAGGTCCGATGGCCCCTCCCACCCTGTTCACCCTTCTGGTCGTGCTGCTCACCATCCTGGTCGGCCTGGCCTACACCTGCTTCGGATGCTTTAAGCACCTCATCCCTCTGAACTACAAGGTAAAGCCCGTCCCCGCACCACTGCCGAGCGGGGCCTGGGAGGAGAAGACCGTGGGTTCACCCTCCACCCCTCCTCCACCCCTCCACGTGTCAGCACGTCAACAGCCTTCTCCAGGTTTTATTTATCTACGGGGGAAGGCATGGGTGGTTGGGTACTATGTGTAGCTTCCCTCCACACCACCTTCCCTGCTCCCTGCAATGCCCCCCCATCCTCTCTTGGGCTGCCGCTGGGAGCCTGCTGCCAGCTGGTACTATTGTTCTGGGTGTTAACAGTCTGTTTGTTTGGAGGGTGTTAGTTCAGGAAGATCAGTTTTGCTTATCATTGCAAGGTTTTGCTCTTATCTGCAGACAGAAGAAATGGCAAGTAACACAGGAAGCAAGGCAGAGGCCCACGTGCCTCCACCCTTCACAGTAAGTTGTGGTTCTTACCCGGGCACCAAGTCCTTGCAGCCATCACAACCACACGGGCCCTCAAACGTCCTTTGATCGTTCTTGTTAGGTGATTAGTTTTGCCACGAGGCACGCCCATCCCCCTTCTGGTCCCTGCTCACTTTCCCTCTCTGCACACTTAATGCCTGTTGAGTGTGGGCCTTCAGTGAGCAATATCGCAAGGCCCTGTGGCCTGATGAAGCTCCATCTTGAGCATTTCACCAGCCCCTGCCTGTGGGAGGTCCCCTGCCAGGCACCAAGAGGGTGTCGCACCAACTCCCTTTTGAATTCAACAAATGAACCTTGCACCTGCCTGAGAGGATGGCACAGTATTAGAAGGACACCAGGACTCCTTTCCTTCCTGGTTCTCCCTGCTTCCAGCCTCCAGGGTCCTGCTCCTGGGGGTGGAACTGGGAAAGGAAAATGGAGTCACAGGACTCCAGGACTGTGACCGCTGCCTTCTTGACAGACCCAGGGCCAGGACAGCGGCCCGTCTCATCAGCAGCGTTCTTCCCAGTGGCCGCCACCCGGGTGTCAGGCAGTCTTATCAGTGTCTGTCCTTGCACCAGCCCCAGGGGAGAAGGTTCTCAGACAGGTTCATTACCCTGAGGCCCACGGGTGTGACTGTGCCCCCCAGACAAGGGACGAGCAGGACAGGTGGATGAGGGAAAGTCCTCATCGCAGCCTGGGTCTGCCCGGGCTCGGCAGCCAGAGCCTGGGACTGGGAGGAAATATCACTTACATGGGTTCCTTCAGCTTCCCGGAAGTCCCATTGACAGCATTCTAAGCCTGTCCTATGTGGGTAGACCTGTTTCCTATATAAAGTGAGGAATTCTAGAATCCAGTGCTAGGAGAAGTTCTGTTTCCTCTGAGAAATGGAGGTGACAAGAACTGGGTAATTGATTGCGTTCTCTGATTAGCTCTGGCTGCTCGGAAATCCTGCAGTTGGCTTATTTTGGGTCCTGACATCCTAAATTGACCTTGTTATTTCTTTCTATGTCTTGTCTGAGCATTGCACATGTCCTACGGCTGGAAGTGGGAGGGCAGTGGGGGAGGATGGAATCTCATGGCCGCCCCACCCGAGCACTAACACCCCATTTGCCCGCAGCCCTACGTGCCCCGGATTCTGAACAGCTTGGCCTCTGAGAAAACAGCCCTGTCCCCGCAGCAGCAGCAGACCTATGGCGCCATCCACAACATCAGTGGAACCGTCCCGGGGCAGGGCCTGGCCCAGAGTCCTGGGGATGGTGTGGCCCCTGCCTACCAGGAGGCCTGAGGGCCTGTGAGCTGCCAGGCTCTGGGAGCCGGGAGGTGAGGGGACACTGCTGGAGAAGCAGCTTGACTCTGACCCCAACCCGGACTTCTTTCCACCTGTCTTCAGCCCCACTGCTCTAAATAGATGGGACCGGGAAGGGGCTCAGGCCCTGGGCTGATGGGAGGGCGGGACTGCCATCGGGTGGTGGTCTTTTCTGGTCACAGCTGCCCAGCGGGGAGCCCGTGCAGCTCCAGCCGCCTGAGGCTCTGCCCATTTCCAGTGCCCCTTCTGCACAAGCGGCCAGCTCAAGCTGGGACGATGTCCCCAGTGATTTTTAGGCAAGATCATGTGTTGGAATCGTGTCCCTCCAGACCCATTAGCTCGGATGACTGCCAGGTCACAGGGAGAGGGTAACAAGTGGAAGACCTTCTCCCTTCTGAGCACGCAGACCCCGCCCGCCCTCCCCAGGCGCTCACACAAGTGCACGTGCCGATAACCACAGGGCCTGCAGCTGTCCCGGGCCTGAGACGGGTCCAGACGGTGGTCCAGGCTCATTCCAGCCTCCCCCTCCGTGTATGGAGCCATTCACCCGCCCGTCCCGGGAGAGAGCTGTGGGAGCAGGAAGGGAACGGGCCAGTGCTGGGCTGCAGAGGCTCCTGCAGCTGCGCACGCCTCCGCATCCCGGCGGTGGGTCCGTGTTCTTGTATCGCGTTGCCAGGGAAGCTGTGTCGGGGTCAGGGTCGCCCTGCACAAGGCAGGGACAATGAGGACCACTAATAAAGTGCCCGTTCAGCCGGACTGTGAGATTCAGCCTCTCTCACCTCTTCAGGGCGTGGGGCGCAATCTCCATCCCTCAGCCCCATCTGTCTGCTCCTTCCAAAGGGTGGGGAGTGGCAGGGCTCAGGGCCTCCTCGGAGCCAAGGGAGGACTGTGGCGGGGCGGGGGAGAGAAGGGGGGCGGTGTCTGGGCTGGGTGCAGGGCTGTGCACCACCCTTGGGCTGTAAACCCCGAAGGAAGGACAGGCAGCCCCTTGCCGTTTCTCTCCCCGTGTCATCCCGGGAGCTGGGAAGAGACTTCGGGCGCTTGCTGGGGAAGCCGCCTCCTACTGCCCCCAGGGGGCGCCAGAGGCGCGAGTCGGCGTGGGGCGCGGCGGTGCGGCCGAGCCCTCAAGCCCCCTCTGCAGACCGCGCCCCCAGCGGTCGCTCAGCCTCGGCCTCTGCTCCGAGCTGCCCCGGGCACCGGGAGGGGGCAGAGCGGCATCCTGGTGCCCCCAGGGGGCCTGTCCTGCCCTTCCCAGCGAGGGTGGGGGGGGACGCCCTCCCCATCCCAGATGCGGACCCGCCAGCACCGCTGGAAGGGGAACCCCTCGTGGGGTCGGGGCACGCGCGTCACTTGGTTCCAGCCGCTTAGAAGTAAAATCGTTTATCGTCAAAGCCAGGTTGCTAACACGTGGCGGGGGGGAGGGGAGCGCGCGTGGAGGCGGTGAGCACGGGGTCCCAGCCTGGGCAGGGGACAGAAGCAAACTCATTCTCAGAAAAGGGGCATCTTCCCCAGGAGGAGACGGGGAGGCCGCCTCCCTGGCAGCCCCCCTCCCTCGGGGAGCTGGCGCTGGGAGACGGGGCTTCCCGGTGAAGGGGCAGGGTCACTGCCGCTCCAGCAGCCCCACGAACTTGCGGATGTCCTGAGCCATCAGCTGCGGCTCCTCGAGGGCGGCAAAGTGGCCCCCGCGGGGCATGTAGGAATAGGAGATCAGTTTCGGGTACTTGAACTTCACCCACTTTTCTGGGGCGTGTAGTAACTCACAAGGGAAGGCAGCAAAGCCGGTGGGCACGTAGACCTTCATCCTGGAAGGGACAGGTCCCCCGGAGGGGTGAGGCTGCGGCCTGGCCCCCCTCTCCGTCCCCCCCCGCAGGGTCAGCTCGCCCACCCACACCAAGACATAATGAAAGGGATAGCCCCAGAGTTTTAGCCACTCCCCTCAATTCCACCCCACTAAGGGCCCGCCCTTCTGGAAGGGCGGCCCAGAAAGAGGAGAGATGGAGAACAGGCCCAGAGAGGGACGGGACAGCCTCTACTGCTCCTTTCCCTTTGCTGCCACCTGAGGGTCTCCACCTGAGATTTGGAAAGGGTGCCGGGGAAGTCCCAGACCATCAGTGCCACACCAGGCCCCCACCTTGGCCCTGGTGGAGACCCTGAAGGACATCTGGGGGCCAGGCCCCCTGTTCCCTCGTGAGGTAATTTTAAAGGCACAGGGATTTCTCCCAGCACCCCAACCTTCTTTAAATCGTGTTCTCCTCCTCCGCACCCTGTGCACACCGCAGGCAAGGCTGTACTCCCACCATCAAATGCTCTCTGGTGAGTTCAGGACTGGGTGGTCCCCCTGCCCCTGCCTCAGAGGCCCCTCCTCAGAGGCCCCGCTCTGGCTCAGCCACGCTCACCGCTCATGCTTCTGGGCCAGGTAGCCCTGTCCCAGGTTCTCCTTGTAGAAGCGCTGGGAGGAGGTGATGGTGCCCGTGGTCCAGTAGAGCATGATGTTGGTCAGCAGATCGTCCAGGGAGAACTTCCTGGGAAAGCAGAACCGGAAGGCCACCCTCAGTGCCACGTGCAGTGGTACGACAAACAAGAGCTGCCACTTTCAGGCTGCGAGCACATGCCAGGCGCCCTGCCCATCGGGCGTCCGTCCCCAGACCTCACTACTCGGGGGTATTGTCCCCGTAACACAGGCAGGCTCGGCCCAGGGTCACCACGATGACAGGTAATGCAGGGTTGACCACATACGAGGCAGGCTATGCTGGCTGTCACTGTCATCCTGCGTGATGTCAGCCGACTCCCCCCACACCAGCCCCCAGAGGAGCAGCCCAGGTGGGAAGGAGCAGGCGAAGTCAGCTGAACCCAGGGGCTTTGGGCTGGTCCCTGCCAAATGTCCAGGACTGTGAGCAGGAGGCTCCAACCCCTGCTCAGAGGTGGTGCCCACTCCTGGGCCCTCAGTATAGGCCATCCTCAGAGCATCCTCGGGTGGGCCTGCCCCTCCCAGGCGCTGGGCAGAAGCTGGTCTCCAGCAGCCTTCAGAGCCCCTGGACCACCCTGCCAGGCACCACGGGCAGCAGGGCAGGGCTGGCAGCTCCTGGGGCGTTTCTATTCACCAGTCTCCAGCTTGTCAGCGTGCCTCCTGCCAAACCTGTGTCACCCCAGGAGGGGGCCCTGGGGCCCTGCAGAGAGCCCCTCACCCAGGGTGGGATGCCCCTTTTTCCCTCCAGCCTGGGAATTGCTGAGCAGGCAGACCCCACTCCGGGAGGAAATATTCATTTGGCACTCACTGTTGGAGCCTGTGGTCTGTGGACTCTGGAAAGCCCCATGTTCTCCTGGCCCTGCCCTCCCTCTCTTGGTGCTGGGCTCCCTCAACCCCCAGCAGCCAGAGCCCGCAGGAGCCCTCCATG